GGGTCGAACTTGGAGCGGCGGTTGTAGAGCAGCTTGGAGAGGTAGCGGTGGAGGTTGGCGGCGGAGAGGCGCGACTTGTCGGGAGAGTCGTAGGCCTCGGTCGTGGCGAGCTCCGTCAGGTGGCGGTTGAGGTACTGCATATCGGAGATGTCGCCGCTGAAGCCGACGATGGCGCTGTCGGCGAAGTTGCGCAGACGCTTGACGTCGGTGAATCGGGCGAGGGAGCCGTAGGAAGCTGCAGTGCTGTCGTTAGGATGGCTGTTGCTGCTGGACTTTCATTCCCTCCCTACAAATGCATTCGAGGAGATAGAGAGAGAGAGGGGGAGAGACTGACCGAGGTTGTCGGCGGCAATGACAACGCCGTCACTGAACTTGATGGCTATCACCGAGGTACCAGTGACGATGGGCTGCTGGGTGTTTTGCTTGGGGCCATTGTCCTGCATGTATGAGGCATCGTAGGCGCCGTAGACATCGTCTCTAGGCTGTCGACCGCGGCGGGCTTGTCAGCATGTATATAGGGAGGGAGGGATGGGCGGTATGTCGGGCGTCACTCACACGACCCCAGGCTTGCGGACGGTGATCCATTGTGGTGGTTGTGAGGGGTGGTTGGGTGGGTGGTCTCGGGGTTGTATCTCGAAAGGCGGTCGAGTGGTTCTGTAGTATGCCTGCGTCGGTAGTATCAGGCAAGTCGGCGTGGATGGTGGTCAGAGTTGTGGATTGAAATCAGACAAGGTGGGAGGTTGTCGTCAGTTGTCGGTTTGGCTGAGGTTCACTCGCTACAGGTACTAACAGCCACCATCCATCCAACCAAGAGCTTCCTCGCGTCCCGACGGCAGCCTACCAGCTTCAGTGCAGAAGCAGGCTGCATTACATAATCTGACATCACCCATAGCGATTGGCTGATTGGGGACGGAAAGCGTTGAAGCTCTGGCCATCGACGACGTTGCGGGTACCTGCACATTAATGCAGCCAGCGCTTGCGCATAAAGTACCTAGTACCACATAGGCGGAGAGCTTTCCCCTGGCAAGCCCACAACCATGAGTCCGAAAGCAGTAGCCAACTAGTGAAGGACATGCGACCAGCCTCTTTCCTTCTCTTCATTCGTATTGCCTTGATTTAATTCCTCGTTGACAGTCTAGCTACCTAGGAACCGAGCCTTGGCCTGTCTACCGTCGTCGAAGCTGGTTTCTTGAAGCGCCCTCGCTGTTCCTCGCTCCTCCTGCTCGCCTACGAATTTGGCTGCTTGGATTCTTTTATCAGCTTGACCGTTAATCACAATCAGCCGGTCCTCGATTACCCGTGCCAATTGCGCAATGTTGACATCCGTCGGTCGGGCTGCTGCCCAACGCCTGGTCCTCGCCAGCGCAGCTCCCTCCAAGCTCCCCCAGCTCGCCACACAGACGCTGGCTCTCCGTCCCGCTGTCGCTACCCGTGGATTTGCTGTGTCGGCCTGGTCGCGCGCCCCAGAGAAGGCCTCGACCAAGCCCAAGGCCGCTGCTAAGAAGGGCGAGAAGAAGGAGAAGAAGACCGCCGCCGATAAGAAGGAAAAGAAGACGACCGCTGCCGACAAGAAGGGGAAGAAGAAAGCAGCGCCCAAGCCCAAGCCCAAACCCAAGGCTACGGTCGATCCCGAGAAGGCAAAGGCCAGCAGGCTGTCGCCCCACGCAATGAAGCTGTTGCCGCTGGCACAGCGAAAGAGACGCCTGGCCAGTGAGTACGTGAAGCTGGATCTACAGGCGCCTCAGACTCTCCCCACGTCGGTCTACTACGCCTTCCAGGCAGAATATTTTGCAAAGAACCGAGGCAAACACGAGGTTGCGGCGGAGGCCTTTGCAGCCTTCCATGAAGAGTGGAAGAACCTTCCCAAGTATGAACTTGACGTAAGTCTCATCACGCATCGCGCATTGCGCATCCCGCAACGCTTCCGCTCCCCATGTGGCTAATTGCTCGCTTTCCTCCAGCGCCTCGAGAGCATCGTTCAAGAAAACCAAAAGGCCAATGCCCAGAAACTTGAGGAGTGGATCAAGTCGCAGTCGCCGGAGAGTGTGTTCGTTGCCAACTGGGTTCGTAAATCCCTGGTTCGCGACCTTGGCAAATCCTCCCGGAAGTACGCTCAGCTCCCGGACAGCCGCTATCCTGCGAAAAGCTCGAGCTGGGTGAATTTCGTCAGAGCAAACAAGGGCGAGTTCCAGGATGCGCAGGCGGGATTCCTCGAAGTCAGCAAGGAACTCTCCGAACGATGGAAGACTCTGTCGGACGCTGAGAAGCAGGCCTTCGCGGAACCCGAGGAGAAGAAGAAAGGCAGCACCGGTCTGTCGAGGGCCGAGATCAAGGACCGAGCTGTTGCCTACTGGAAGGAGCACTCACTGCTGCAGCCATTCGCCACTCCTGCCAAATTCGCCATTGGGACATCCGACGAGCAACCCCTTGAGAAATGATCCCCCTTATGATGAAGAAGACTGAGCTAGGAATGCTGGACATGCAGTGCTGTTTTGGTTCCCATTGGTTGTGTATGGCAGGAGACACTTTGGCTGCAAGCTCGCCAAGCTCGGAAGTTTCCTTTGTTACAGCTTCTCCTTTGCCGATGGAGGAGACCGGCAGGCCTGGGGGTTGGCAAAATTCGCTGAAGAAATGTGTACTATACTTACTTGAGCCACGGCTGTGTTGCGAGGTATATCTGGGCTGATGATTAGGATCCAAGCGGGTGAGGCCCCCGGGGGGTTTCCTTGTTTCTGTATACATAAATGATGCAGTGTGCCCTATTGTGTCTTTGTTTACGGACGACTATACCCAATCTCGCTGTTCCCGCTCCCGAAACGCCGATATCCAAGTGAAATGTCCTCACAGCCCCCCCTCAATCTATGGCATGCCGGCTCTGCTGCTTATCATGAGGCGGCACCTGAATGACAACATTGCCATCGCCGTCAATCCAGGAAGCGCCTGTCGTCTTGAGCAGCCTGGCGCTGGCCAAGTATAAGAGAAGATAGGTATGCTTGGATAGATGACCCCAGCAGTACATTCGGATCCATCGGTGAGCAGGATCTCGGCTACACCAGACGCCCCAGCCGGCAATGCCGCTCTGGAGGTAGTTGGTCAGAAACGCCCACGTGTCGACCTTGGTCTCCAGAGACCAGGCTGCACAGTCGAGCAGCCAGTAGCCCCTTTCCAGAGGCTCAATGTCCCGCTTTGTGAGTGGGCGGTAGCGTGAGGAGAGGTCCTTGGAGAGCTTGGCGAGCTTGTCGGAGACGAGATCTGCCGGTTCCAAGTCGTCCACAGCGACGGATGGGTCAGGAGGGCGGATGACGAGGGTGTCATCGACGTGCACAGCGGTGCGGGGCCGCACATGGAGGCTATCACTGGCGCTCCGGATCAAGGCAAGGCTGGAGTTGATCTGGCCGGTGGTCCTGGGCCGTTTGGAAGGCGGAGGCTCGGAGCCGGAGCGGAAAGAGGAGGCGATAGAGGGCTGGCTTACGAAGCTGTTGGAGACGTGGGTGATATCATGGGCGGCCTCGGCATCGTCATCCCCGGCGGTGGAATGCTCAAGCTGAGCCGCAGTTTTTGCAACGTGGGGTGTTACGGGGATGATTCCGGACTCGACGTTGGGGTCAGGGATTGAGGATGGGATATGGATACCGGGGGACGAAGCAATCTCTGTGGATAGACCCGAATCGTGCGGCGACGGAGAGGCCAAGGGCGAAGACGGTACGCATGTATTGGTATGGTGAAGATAGCGTTGTAGTACCCGCGTGGGAGAGACGTGAAGGATGCCCGAGTCGGGCAGCGGGTACGAGTCGCTGATGTGGCTGGGCGGCGCAGACCAGGAAGAATGCGCCGTCTCCTGGGATTCAGCAATGGCATCTTGGTGGACAGGTCCGCGACTGATATTAGGTAGCCGAGGAGATGAGCGATTGTCCAAGGCGCTTGCGAAACTCAGGTCCAGATCCACGACCTCCAAGACAGACGATTGAGGGAGAGTGGAAGGAGGAGGAGGTGGGGGAGGGACGGAGGGGATGGAGGAGCTCAGTGCGGTAGACGTCTCGGACGAGGGCGCCAACTTGCGTTTCCGTGTACGACTAGGGGCGACAAGAGATGCGACGTCGGTTCTTTGCTGAGAGACGAAGGCGAGGTGTGCGCGGGCGAGACGGCGGTAGGTGTCATCGTCGGCGGCGCGGCTCGGAGCAGCGATGTGGACCAGTATCTCGACGTCGTCTGCTGGACGACTTGACATGGTGACTGGGGTGTGAGCGAGCAGAGCAAAGGTAAATTCATGGCGAAGAGGGAGCAAGTACGCCGCCGCCACGGTCAGAGCGCAAGAGCCATATAGTGAAAGCGAGTGAATCAGCTGTTTAACAAGATGAGACGAAAGGAGGCCGACGTGTTGGCTGCGTCGCGTAATGTGAATGAGGAGGAAAGTCGCAAGCGTTTCTGCAAAGGGGAGCTCGAAAGGACAGTCTCCAAAAAGCAAAAGGTTAATGTGAGAGCGAGGTGAGGTGAGGTTATTCACGGACCGTCCGAAGGCGCTTATACATGGCAAGTACGGAGTACGGAGTACTTGTATCGATATGAGGCAGCGAGAGCCCCACCTCCACATTCGCTTCTTGCCGTCGCTAACCCAAGGTGCCTACCTGCCAGCCGTGACGGGATTCATTCATATTGTCTCGGAGAATCACGTGCTGGAAATTTAGGCAAGCTGGTTCTTATTCCTGTTGTAGTGCGAATACAGCATGCTACTTGCTGGCGGTGATGGATTCGCATGTTGGTGACTTGATTAGTAGGTACCTTGAGAGTACCTGGTAGTTGACTTGTGTGCACTGATGATGCCCATTGACAACCACACCATCCTTCCGCCGCGGCTTCAGAAACCGTCTTGTGACATTGATAGACAGCACAGTGGCACGATTACACAAGGCCAGTTAATGACAGCAGCGAATGGTGTCCATCGATGAAGCCGTGTCGCGTCCTACCAAACATATACATCTTTACCCACGAGCTAAGCCAACGCCCGTATGGCTTAGGGGTAAAGCGTGTCACTCGTACCTCGTAATGACAAGATCAGGTGTTCGAATCACCTTATGGGCAACAATTCGCATCGAATCTTTTTGATTTATTTAGCATTTCTCTCTTCTTCTTTTTTTTTTTTTTTTTTTGCTGCTTCTCCCTTTTCTCATGTATTCCCATCTGGGGGGCATTGGCTGTTGGGGTTGACTAGTTTGTACGTATCTACATTACTGGCTGGCTTCCACGGAGGAGAAGCGGATAAAGTCGGTCTCGCGTGGATGAATTCGATGCCGCTTTCATCACTTTCATTGGGATGGAGGGGGGATTCCTAGAGAAATTACAGGTGTTCAAGTTGCCAAGCCAGGACCAACTAACGCCTTTCAGGGACCCCAACATGCACTTACCGTACCTGACTTGTTGTACTTATTAGTCCTCTAGGTATGGATCACAGCCCGGCCTCGATCCCCTGAAAGTCGGTCCCTCCCAACCTTCACCTCACCTTCCTCTTCTCATCAACCTCCCCCCTCCCCCCGACTCAAACCATGTCAGAGAAGAAGCGAGGCGACCTCGGCCGCGTCGTCGTCATCGGCGGCAACGGCTTCCTGGGCCACCACATCGTCAACCTGGCCCTCGAGCAGTGGACAACCACGTCCATCTCCTCGATTGACCTGCGCTGCGACCGCAACCGCAACCCCAACGCTGCCTACTACGAGTGCGACATCACCGACGAGGCCCGCCTGCTGTCCGTCCTCGAGGACGTCAAGCCCGACGTCGTCATCCACACCGCCTCCCCCGCCGTCGACGGCGGCCAGACAAAGGACGAGCTCTTCCGCAAGGTCAACATTGACGGCACCCGCACCGTCGTCGAGGCCTGCCAAAAGGCCTCGGTCAAGGCCCTCGTCTACACCTCCTCGGCCAGCGTCATCAGCGACAACGTCCACGACCTGTGGCACGCCGACGAGCGCTGGCCCGTCATCCGCGGCGAGCAGCAGAGCGAGTACTACTCCGAGACCAAGGCCGCCGCCGAGGAGATTGTCATCAAGGCCAACCGCTCCGAGCAGGCCCCCAACTTCCTCACCACCTCCCTGCGCCCCGCCGGCATCTTTGGCGAGGCCGATGGCCAGACCCTCGCCGGCTTCCTGCGTGCCTACGAGAAGGGCCAGACCGGGATCCAGATTGGCGATAACAACAACCTCTTCGACTTCACCTACGTAGGCAACGTCGCCCACGCCCACCTCCTCGCCGCCAGGCTGCTCCTCGCCACCGCAGGCGCCTCCACCCAGCCCCTCGACCACGAGAAGATTGACGGCGAGGTCTTCATGATCACAAACGACTCCCCCGTCTACTTCTGGGACTTTGCTCGCGCCGTCTGGCGTGCCGCCGGCTCCAACAGCAACGGTAAGCCCAGCTTCACCATGTCCAAGGAATTCGCCAGCATCCTGGGTGTCGCCAGCGAGATCGCCTTCATGATCCTCCGCAAGCCTCCAGTCTTCACCAAGCAGAGAGCCGTCATGTCCTCCATGACCCGCTTCTACAACATCAACAAGGCCAAGCGCCTCCTGAAGTATCAGCCCATCTGGTCGCTCGACGAGGGCGTCAAGAGGGGTGTTGACTATTACCTGCGCCAGAAGGCCGCTGCTGCCTCCTCATGAGCAAACATGGCAAAGCAGTGTGGTGGTGAAGGAGCTCTTTCTTCTTCCCTTTTTATTTATTCCTGGTCTCTTCTTTTTTTTTCGTGACACTTGCAGCGAGAGAGTAGGGGGAAAACAAACAAAGGACTTGAAGGGATAGAGAATCTACAGAGCAAGCATATCTATTGGCACAGTGCATGCCACCTGGGAGATGGAAGATAACGGACAATGAGACCAAGTCATATATAAGTTTGCCCTTTGCGGGCTCGTAATACAACATCAATTGTAATGACATCTCACTATTCAACTTGCAATGGTCAATGGGCTGAACAGCCAATTCACCAAATGGGAAAGTAATTTGAGCCGGAGTCATATGTCCTGTGATATGTTTTTTGGTGTTTCTCGGCAATGAGATCACCACCTTCAAGCAGTATATATCTCCCCCCTCTTTCTGGTGTAAAGCTGCGCGGACAAAAACGAAATGAAAAAGGAATAAGGAAAAAGGGGGAAGGAGGAGAAGAGAGGGCCAGCGGCCCAGGTATCAATCATCCCATCGAGTGATTCAAGAAGCAGTACAAGAACCACGCATCCGTCATGTCGTAATCTTTATGCTGGGGGTTTTATGCGTGCAGTAGATAAATGGTTTTTTTCTCTTGCCCTTTTCCTGCTTCTTCCTTCATCTCGTCCACCACAAGTTCTTTCGGCTCCCTTTCCCTTCCCTTGCCTTCCCGCTCTTCTTCGCCGCCTGTCTGAAAAACCCTCTCTTTGCGACAACCCGCTTCAAAGAATCGAAACGCCTTGAACCATGCATACACGCATCTCAACTCTCTACAATCCTCTTCCAGACAAAAAAACCAAAAAAGAAAATTCTGACGCGAACAAGCTTGGACAGATTAATTTAGCCAAAGAGACTGCTCGTTCGACAACCATGATGGCCCTCGGTTGTTCAGTTGCCTCCGACACCTAGCCCACTGCCTTGCCGTCCCCAGGCAGAGTTTCGCCACTCGCGTCGCTGGCTGTGCTCACTGTCGAGGTGGGTGTCGGACTGGTTGAACTGATTTTGCTGGTATGGAGATCCTGGGCCTTCCATGCCCTTCCGAAACCTCTGCGGAGGTGTGCCGTGCCCAGCCTCTCCCGGGGGCATGGGGACATCCTGAACCGGGCGGACCGTTGTCTCACCCTGCCAGACAGTGGGGTCTGTCTCTACTCGTCTCGGAGGTGGTCGGAACGAGTGGTCGGCACGATTGTACACCTCATTCACATCAGTGATGGCCACTTGCCCTCTGCGATCCTGGAACCGCTTCAAGATCTCTTTTGTGGTGACTTCAGCATTGTTGCTGAAGATATATGGGTCATTCAGCAGCGTCAGAATCTCGTCAGGCACCTGGTGCATTTCACTGTCAGCACAAGTCGGGTAATGCATCATTGCCACAAACTGAATTCTTACCTGGCACATTTCTTCAATGTTCGCAATCAGCATCTCGACCGCGTCAATCACAATGCCAGCCTCGCTGTCCAGCGCAGGCGCCTTGTTAATGTTGATGAGGACATTTGGGGCGATGACAGTTGCGAGGTTGCGGATGTCCATTTTGGATCCAATCTCCTCGTCCAGCTGGTGGAAAGAACCAGCCCATTTCAGGAAGGTAAAGAGAATCTCCAGGCAGTCTCGATGACTTTTGGGCAGCAAGCAGCATGTCAGATGAAGACACTGCTTCCTACGCTCTGGGTCTGCAATCTTTGCTGCGCTGATCCAAAGCTTGTACAGCTTATGCGTCATCAGAGGATCTGGGAGGTCGCGGAGGTATCGCTTGAGGAGGGCGGCAAGCTGAATCACGGGTTGCTCCATGAAGTTGATGGTATCGCATCCCTCGGCATTCACCTTGTCGACAGTTTCTTGCTGTTTCTTGATGTTGCCATTCTTTCGGAAGACGCCCTCCACCGAAAGGTCCATCTGACGCATTGACGAGATGATATCGTCGACGATCGCGGGGATGCGCAAAGTACCAGGTCCAACTCCATCGGTCGAATCGGCGCCGTCACGTTCGATGATGACTTCCAGCGGCACCCCAAACACGCCCTTCTTCTTGACATTTTTGTTCTTGTCGTTCCTTAGAGCCTTGCCGAGATTCTTCCAGAATGTTGCCTGCTTTCTAGATTCGATGAAGCTCAGTAGCTCCTCCAGGCTGAATTCTTGCTCGATCATTGGCTTCATGGTGAGGACGGCAAGATGTCGCACGTTGAAGTACTCCAAACCCGAAAGCTCGGAGAAGTATCTGCGCGCTATGCGGGGTTGGAGGTCCTCTGCACGGAGTTCATTGTCCCGGCCTGCAGACAGCGTCCTCGAGTGGCCCCTAGCTGCATCGGCTTCTGTCAGCGGTCCTTGCTGTTGGTATTGCTGCTGCTGCTGATGCTGCTGTTCGCGAGATTGCTCTACAGCTACGATTCGGGGGATGTCGTCCAGTGTGAGGGCATCATTTTGGCCAAACATGTTATCAGCCGGACCCCTTTCTGCACCGGCTGAGCCAGGACGTCCATCCAGATCCATGACGCGGGATGTTCGGGACTGTCGCACACTAGCAGACAGATGGCGATCCAGGCGGGTGCTACGCAACCTTCGGACATCATTTAGAGTGTTCTCGTAGGACGACTGGCGATGATGCTCCTTGTCGCTTGGACTCGAGTAGAACTTGGATCGATTCTCTGGGCTGAGACGGGGCGGTTCGCCCAGGTGACCACCGTTGTTACCGGCTGCCTGACCGTTCGGGCCCATGTCCGATGGCTGACCCTGCAGCGAGCCATTGCTCTTGAGAATATCTAGCAAGCGAGCCAGCGCAACGCGTAGGAGAAAGACATATTGCTGTAGTTTGGTGATGTGTTCAAATGGTGAAAAGCTGTCCTGCGCATGTGGTCCAACGCAGCCTCGGCAATATATCCTCCTATCCAAAGAGTTGAAGAGAGCCTGCTCCACTGAGCGGCCCAGATCTCGTCCGCATCTGGAGCATGTTACACAATTCAAATGCACTCGCATGTCTCCGTTCTTTGCGCACTCATCTTCGACGGAACGATCACAAATCAGGCAGTGGTCTGAGTCTTTGGCCGACAGTCTGACGCCGCCTGTGGTCACCGTCAACCCCCCATCGTCGACCTTGAGATTCTCGAAGTCGTATAGGTCGTCTAGGAACCGATAGAGGCCTTCGGATGTGTATGCTTCGCGTTCTAGACGGAGCGCAGCCTGGAGGCAGATGCGGATGAGGAGCTTGAGGTAGTGAGCAAGGCCGGTGACGAGGGACAGGAGCTCTTGAGTGACACCGAGCTTCCCTGTAACAGAATCCTGGGCCTTTGATAGTAACGAGAAGAAGGAAACGATTTTCTTGCAGAGAAGCTTTGCTTCTCGGCCGTAAGACATGCCTGTATTCCCATCTTGTCAGCACTGACAAAGCACAAACTTCA